CATATATATATATATATATATATACAATATATATTATATACAATATATATATACAATATTATATATTATATACAATATATATACAATATTGCTCTTGACAATATATATATATATATATCTACCGGTAATATGTATGATGTCTTTCGATACAACTTACAAGGCCGTTTCTTAGAGCTTAATGCATGCCTGCTGTGTGTGGCTGATACAACTTGAAATCAATAGTAGCTGGCTGCATTAATCAATTTTACCCAACCTTATCTGCAACTTAAACACATTTACTGACATGCGCTTAATCCAGAGGGTGCCATTTAGATATATAATAAAATAATTAAGTATATATTCATAGCCAGCATCAGATGGAGAAAATTAGCCCAACCAAGAAGCGAGACGAACGTCAATATCTATAGGTCTTTCGATATTATATATATGAGCTTTTCTTGGTGCTATGCAAAAACAGACCTGGTTTAGATAGCACTGCATGCTTTCTAAATGGGCAAAGGGAGTACTCGTGGCCCAGATTACAGGGAGGATAAGCCTCAGAGTGATGTTAGCATGAAATGAGCATGCAGACGTAATGTAAACTCCATGGGAGCACAAATTAACACACGTGTTAGGTAAAGCCGTGGGGCTATAGATACACACTGTGTGCTAATAAAGTTTATCTCAGTTAGATCCAAATTAAGTTCAAAATAACTTGCACTCACGAAATTTTCGTCCATCTCCCCGATAGACTTCCCCAGACCTGGAATCCATGAAAGTTAATATGGCCAGGCTCTAACTCAGCAGTGAGATCAGAAACATGCATATTATCAGGAGTAGATAATAGGAAAGGAGTGCGACTTCAATAAACAAGGGAAATTCGTCATTTACTAGCCTTAAAATACCTACGATTTACTACGCGTAACTCAACCAACTTGAGCTCAAATCGTACACAGTACACTCGCCTAGCATCGTCCGAAACCGTTTCCTCGTATACACCCGCAATCCGGAGATACAGACTAAAACGTACGACACGATTTTCCATTATGTTGCCAGCAAACTGAATGTGTAAACCGCCTAACTCGAAACAAAAGGCAGCTACTAACGACTCTTGCGCCCTCGCCGATGCGGTGTGGCTCGCTGAGCTAATCTTTGACCTATTTACAGCTGCCTTTTGTTTCGAGTTAGGCGGTTTACACATTCAGTTTGCTGGCAACATAATGGAAAATCGTGTCGTACGTTTTAGTCTGTATATCCGGATTGCGGGTGTATACGAGGAAACGATTTCGCACGATGCTAGGCGAATGTACTACATGTACGATTTGAGCTCAAGTTGGTTGAGTTACGCGTAGTAAATCGTAGGTATTCTAAGGCTAGTAAATGACGAATATCCCTTGTTTATTGAAGTCACACTCCTTCCCTATTATCTACTCTTGATATTATATAGAATATTGGGCAGGTAAGAAATGAACGGGGATGTGGTTAGTGCAGCAGGAGTATGTGGGTTTACCTGGGGAGGAAGCTGGTGAATCCTCGACGCTTGGGCTTCGTCCCGGGCAGGCGGGCGGGGTCATCAACGAAGGCATCCGAACGACTGCTGCTCATTGAACTGCTGCGAGAATGTTCAAATGGCTTCCTGCAGAGGGCGCCTACGTCCTGCGATGAGCCGCCATCGTAGTCGAAGAAGTTGGTCGACTCGAAGAGGTCGTCCGCCGTCGACAGGGAGAAGTCGGTGCTGTGACTGGACAGGCTGAGGCTGGACGAGGCGTCGGTGCGTGCGAGCGATGCGTCCGTGCCCGTGTGGGACAGGCAGCAGCTGCTCAGGCGAGGGAGACTGTTAGTGCGAGCGCAGTTTGTCGTGCCGGCCACCGTGAGACTGTTGGTCTTACGCGCCACCAGCTCCTCTACACTCTGCATGCGGGGCGGCAGCGTAGCGCCGCGACCTGCCCCGAGAGTCTGCACCTGGATAACTAGAGATTTCGTGAGTGCGTTGTAGGCGAGAGGTACGTGTTCGAGTGCCGTGTTGAAAGAGCAGGATTTACTCGGATCTTCAGCGGCGCTGTCCGCACCGACATCGTTGGGCTTACACATGTCGGCTGTGTCGCAGCAACTTTCCTCGTCGTTCTGCGAGGGATCTCGAACATGCAAATCGTCTCTCACGTGCATGCATCGCGCAAATTCCGAGTCTTTTGAGGGTGATGTACTCATGATATCGAGGTCATCCTTAGAGTAGGTTTTTCCACTCCCCTTGCACTTGCCATTAATATTCGGAAGAGACGATAGTAGTTGCGAATTGTAATCATCTAGACTGCAACTAAAGTTCAATTTCAACGCTTGTATGTGAAAGCAGTCGTTCTGTGACAGCGACTGCTGCTTCCCAAGTAAAGTGCTAAGATTACAATTCGCGAGGTTCAACTTCACGTCGGAATCATTAATTAAAAGTTCGTTCGTTTTTAAGCACAGCTCTTCGAAGATCCCTCTGTCTTTGAAACTTTTCAGGCTGTTTAGAGTTTTTCCTTTACCCATGACTGGGTTTACGTCCGCTAAATGCTTCTCGGAACTGCCCACTTTTTCAACAATCAGAGACACAGTTTTGCCGTTGGCTTTGCCACTCTGCTCGGCGGATGAAAGATTTTTCATGTCAATAACGCAGCTGTGGCTCAATTACAAGTGATTATACATCATTGAGCCATGCGAGTGTCAACGTTGACCGAAACACCTCACAAATTAATCACAAGTCTGGAGCACCACTAAAATAGGTATACTCCCTGCCATTTTGAAACGCCAGTGAATGTTATACTTCCCAGCATGCGTTGCGACACGTTAATAAATTTCTAAAAACAACCCGTAGGTGGCGGTAGGAGCGCAGTCTTACCGTAACTTCACGTCTTGTCCTTAGATTCATGTGTAGGTGAGAACAAACGCAGTTACAGTCCTAAATAATTTGTAGATATGGAAAAATGCGACGGAAAGGCAAAGGAGTGTAAAGAGGAGGAACCAAAAAAGCTAAAACCATGCTGTGCCTGCCCAGAAACAAAAAAGATTAGGGATGAGTGGTAAGTGCGCAATCGGGCGCACTGCGATCTTCAAATTCGACGTCCGTGACGAAGCTAGTAGTAGTACTAGTACTAGTAGTAGTAGTAGTGGCTACTAGTACTAGTGCCTAGTGGTACTACTACTAGTACTAGTATAGCTCTAGTACTAGTAGTACTGCTATAATTTGTTGTTGTTGTTATTCATTAATTCTCCTGTTACACGAGGTCATGGTCACAATGTATACACACTTTGTATCTGTTATGTCTTTGCCTCTGTGTTACGTCTTGGCCTCTGTCCAAGTGTTTCTGTGTATCTATTCAAGTGTTTCTGTGTAGGTTCACAAACAAAACATGCACGGCATTTTGGCGGTCACTCAACTCCTTTATTTTAGACTAGTCACGCCATCTCGTGGACGCAATACATGACAGTATCGTTAGCTTCTAGTGTTTCCTCATGGTAAAAAAAAAGATTCTTGTTTTCCCCAGTAAGGGTGGCAATGTCAATTGTCCGTTGGCTTGGGTTGGTGTTGGTCTTCACATACCCCAGTTCGATCGTGTCAGTCATCTTCTCCCTGCTAACCCTGAGTCATGAGCAATGGAAGATCTTGTGGTCCACGGTCTCATTGGCAAGTCCACATGCAGTCGCAGAGGTAGCTCTAGTAACTATAGCCCGTGTACAGTTGCCGCAGGCGGCGGCTATGTACAGGCCTGCGGCTATGTGCAGGCCTGCAGCAACTGTACGCGGGCTATAGTTACTAGAGCTATCGCAGAGGGGACTATCGCTTGCCCTGATCTTAAACATGCGTCTAAACATAGGAATCGCTCCGACCTGTGATTGGAGGATTAAAATAGAATTCGTGACGTTTCCTTTCACCGGTCATAGCCGCTCGTGTATATTTGCTAATTAATTAGACTAATCGTGCTTCAATAGACTCAAAATTCAGGCTAAGAAATGTGTCTATAATATAGCTAGAATTTATAGAAATGTAACTCAAATCGTTCGCGCTATATGATAGTTAGTACACGTTCCTGCTGGTCATAGCATAATAGCGTATGCGGCGGGAGTGGGCGGGGTCTATTTTTATCCTCCAATCACAGGTCGGAGCAATTCCTCTGTTTAGACACATGTCTGCTATAGCCCTTGCTTTGGCCTTGTTGGTTCTGCCACTGTGACATTTGACAGAGCCAACGAGGACAAGTCTATACTACTACATCTATGAATGAGGAAGGAGGCCTTGTTGCAACAGGGCCTGTGGAGTAAATGGCTATAGTATAGTTCTACAGCTATATAGTATGGAACATATTTATATATATATATTATGGAACATATTTATTCTATGAGCCTCATATCCAAACTGTTATAGATCAATGTACATGTTGGTGGAGAGAGAACGAGCACACTTGCACATTATACTCTTGTACCCGTATACAACCCCATGTAATACAGACATATATACACTACCTTTGCATCATCATCCACTCTCTCCTTTTCTAGTTCTACCTTTCCCTTTGCCACCTATTCCACCTTAATCTCCCTGCTTCTTCCTCCTGCCCCTCCTCCCCCTCCATTGTCTTCTCACCACTCACAGCCTTTTAACACTCCACCTTTTCCTCCCATACCTTCTCCCTTTCGCTGACTTTTCCACATTCTCTCCTCCTCGGTCTGCCTTCACCCCTCCACCTTCTTCAGCTTCCGCCATAATCATGCTAGTGCAGCAATCCTGTGCAGCATCACGTGGAGTCTGCTATGTAAATATGTGATGGCCTAATTGTACATCCCTATCACTTGTCACTATTAAAGGAAGCGCACTCTACTTCTAATAGCTCAAATAATTAATAGGAATTTCTTTTGAAATGTACTTACAGCATAATTCAAAATGGAGAAGAGAACTGCCAACATCTCATTGAGGCTCACAAAGCCTGCATGCGTTCATTAGGATTCAAAATATAGTGGGTCTGTCCATACATCAGCGCTTGTTGGTAAGTGTGTAGGTGAGTGTGTGTATAAACAGATGTGGTTGGCTCTTATTTCATGCACTTTCTTTAGAAGAGCTTTCAATACTTTGATGAAGTTGGCCGCAATGCAGCACTGGTACCGAGATAATTACACTATTTCTGGCGAGTGTCACCTCATATATTATACGCTCTTTGACCATAGTAACATGTGACATCTGTTGGCGATTAAAATGTAACGGTGCAATGACGATAGTTCTGAAAAATGTTTACCATCATTATTAACCACATCATTATTAACCATCATTATTAACCACATCATTATTAACCACATCATTATTAACCATCATTATTAACCACATCATTTCATCATTATTAACCACATCATTATTAACCATCATTATTAACCACATATTTTTTCCTCAGTTATATTACTTAAATGCAATTGGTAATCGTTAGATGAAGTAAGTTTTTGATTGTAAACATGTTTATCATTTGTGCTCTCATATTTTACTTTAGGTAGACTGTAGGTGGCTAGTCAGCATCATTGGCAATTCAACATGTTCAAGCAGGAAATCACGTGCAAATGTCTCGGCAACTGGAAACGAGGATTACCTTGTTGGATAAATTTGGACACGTGAACAGAGTTAGCTGCTTTGGTTGTTTTTTAGTAGAAACCCCCAGATGGTATGTTTCAATTGGCACAGTGTATAACGTATGAACTAAGGAAATGTTGTTACCTATGTGTGGCTTTTTTATTCAAAACTCACATAAAACTATCTAGATTTTCTAGAAAGTTACTGTTATGTACAGCAATAATGTTTTATAATGTAAAAAATTAAAGAGTTTAACTTGCTTTATATAACCAACTGTTTTCTTTACATATGCATAACTGCTTATTGCAGCTACAACAGTAATAAGCAGCCTTCAGTGGTTCACTTGACGTCTTATTAATGACAGTAACGACATAAATACACAGACAGCTTCAACTAGTTATATGCAGGGTGCTTGTTAAAGGCTGGATGACACATCCAGCCTCGCATGCTAGCACAAGTTTCTACTTGTGGGTTCATGTAAAAAGATTATTAACAAGTTCCCTGTGTACTAACAATTGCAACTACATAGATGTATGCAGACAAAACGGGGTACACTAACACAGTGAAATATTGCACTCCTCAAATCTTCCCTCCTCTTAGAACTACAGCCTCCTTTACCCACACTCATTGGATCAGTGCTTTTCTCAACAGCTGCTTCTGTTCCTGTGACAGTCTGGTGGGGAAATTGATATTGAACTCTATGATCAGCTGTCCTTTGCTGCCCACCTGCTTGCATGTAGTTGGCATGCCCTCACCAGGAACCCTCTTAGTGTAGCCTGGCCTGTCAACATCCAACCGGAAATTCATCAAACATTATTTCAGTGACTGGTGCACATTGTGGTGTTATGGCACAAATATTAACTTTCTTATTTCTGATGCATCGTCTGCCTGTTTCAACAGCTTAAATTCCAGGCATGCTCATGATTGAAAATCTTACTATGTCAGATCAAAATATGAGACTCAATATTTGATTCAACTTCTTTCATATTTTATTCAAATTTCTGTATGATGTAAATTGCTATTGTCTCTATTTACTTGCCAACAAATGATATTTCATCAAATAACTTCAGATGGGTGGTGGTATGTAACACTGTTCAAGCAGAAGATGTATTTTTACATTAAATGTGGAACCAGGGTTTGCTAGATAACACTATAGGCATACATACTGTACAATATCATTGATAGGTATGCGCAGAGTTCTGTCATCCAGGGTGAGTACTTCAACGCTGCAGCCTGTTAGAGACTCCCCTAGGGAGACCTGAGCCGTGTAGATAAGGTCCCTCCCAACACGTCGGAATCTCGGGTGTGGCTTGTCAACTGTCTCGAAGACTATGTCGGCTGCAAACAGATGAGCAAATGTCATTAAACTGCATCTCATAATCTCATTAATAGTTGTCTGACAGACAGATCAAGAGAATCACTGTCACACTGCTGAACTACAGCTTAACAATTCAATATAACACGTAAAATAGGAGAGTAATCACACCAATCGCGTGACGTCGCTCACTATATGCTACGTCGGTAACGGTGTGGACACGCGCGGAGTGCGCAGGCATCACGTACCAGGGATGCTGTTCGGGCCTTGGTCACCTTCCTTGGAGAAGTTGATGGCGGTGCCTGCCTCCCAGCCTGGCCTAACATGGATTGTGAGGATCTTCTCTCTGATGCTTGACGTGTGTCCATCTCCATTCATGACCTACATGATGCAATGTACTGTCACATACAACACGTTTTCATGTCACATCCATGGAATAGTGATGTCCTGATGATCGATTACAAGCAAAAGTTCATCGTTTGCAGCCACCGATTAAATAATTATGAAAAAAAAAATCAAAAATCAGAAAAATACCTGAGTTGATGTTTATTTATGAGTAAACAAATTCTTCAGCCATCATTACAAATTGTTATCCTGTTAATGTTATAATTCACTGCAAATAACGTTTTGTACCAACCGATAAGGCAAATCAGCTGATATTTCACCTTAGCCTACCAAGAAGTCAATGCATATTCAGTGCAACAAACCCTGCGAGCTATCTTCATCTTCTTCGTACATCCGTGGAAGCACTCCTCTAGGGATAGAGCCAACTCTCTGTGCACAGGTGGGTCCTGCTTACAGGCTGCATGCCGACCGTGCAGTCCCCCCGCCCCTGTCACCGCGTCGGGCACTATGCCCGTAAAGTAGTCTGAAACGATAGGGCATGTCCGAAAAGCTGTACAGTAGTCCACTTCCACAGAAAGCTAGAATCGAAGAGCCTAAGAACATGTTAGTGAAGTAAGAAGCGAAGTAAGAAGTGTTGGAGTTGAAAACACAGATCTATCTTAGCAGTCTCTTTTTTATTGGTCATCTGCTAGTATGTCGTAGCAATGGTCGTTGCTTCTCTCCAGGCAGTACTTGTTACTTAGGCCACAGACAAACAACAAAACATGGCTCCACAAGGTTGATAAAGCACTGTAGGTATTGTCATTTCTATTGTTGCACTTCTCCCAACACATTCGAGAATAAGGGCGCTGTGGGAGATCGGCTATAGAAAATATGGGGCAAACATAAGGCTAATGACTGAAAATTAGGTAGTAGAAATGTTGGAAATATCCAGAAGATTTTGTCAGTGACTAGTAGTGCATTCAATTTTCAATTGAGAAAGTAGCTGTAACCATACTTAAAATAGGCAGTAAAAGCCCTGGCATCCTAGCTCTAACGGAAACCCTGAACAAGCAATCATGTGCTGTGTGCTGTTGGGCTTAGAATGACAAAAAATATTACCTGAGAAAGGATTACATCCACCGAAGAAATCACTGAATACTTTCCGAGAATCCCCATGGAAGGTGTATCCCATAGTAAAGCTGGTACCATCATCATCGCTGATCAGTGGCACACCTCTTGTTAACCCCTCCTCTCCAAACTGGTCGTACACAGCTCTGAGCTTATCTGTACACATGCAGGAGGGTAAGCAATATATAATGGATCATTTAGATATAGTCTCAGCTATGATTTATAATTCTTTTTCGTTTTGTGCATGGGAAAAGAATTGTTGCATTTATGAAAATTCAGCACTAGCACCCCACCTCTCTGTGCCATGCATAAGGCAACACATAGCACTGCATATAACATTTACCATTACTGAGAACATCATATGCCTCTGCCAGTTGCTCGAATTTTTCCTCTGCATCGGGATCATGATTTTTGGTAGGATGATATTTCAATGCCAATTTCCTATATCTGAAGGTAATACAATGTTATCAGTTAATCAGTTAATAATGTTAGTTATTTGGTGCTAGATTTCATTGAAAAAAGAAAGTCGTATTTTAACGCTTTGTGCCAATAGATTATGTACATACTATCAGGAGTAGATAATAGGGAAGGAGTGTGACATCAATAAACAAGGGAAATTCGTCATTTACTAGCCTTATAATACCTACGATTTACTACGCGTAACTCATCCAACTTGAGCTCAAATCGGACACAGTCCATCCGCCTACCATCGTGCAAAATCGTTTCCTCAAATACACCCGCAATCCAGAGATACAGACTAAAACGTACGACACGATTTTCAATTCTTTGGCCATCAATCCAAATGCACTGCCCGCCTCTATTCAAACAAAAGGCAGCTACTAACCACACTGTCCACGGCTTGCCTTCACGGCGAGGCGCTGTGGCTCGCAGGGAGATTTGAATCCGATCTGCTGCTGATAGCGGATTGGTGTGCGTGCGTGGTATGGGGGCATGCCAGCTGTATTGCCGGCATGCAGGTATGTAGCTGTGTACCGGGTCAAAGGTTATCTCGCCGAGTGTTACGTTGATGCCTAATCTCCCTGCGAGCCACAGCGCCTCGCCGTGAAGGTAAGCCGTGGACAGTGTGGTTAGTAGCTGGCTTTTGTTTGAATAGAGGCGGGCAGTGGATTTGGATTGATGGCCAAAGAATTGAATATCGTGTCGTACGTTTTAGTCTGTATCTCCGGATTACGGGTGTATACGAGGAAACGATTTTGCACGATGGTAGGCAGATGTGCTGTGTCCGATTTGAGCTCAAGTTGGATGAGTTATGCGTAGTAAATCGTAGGTATTATAAGGCTAGTAAATGATGAATTTCCCTTGTTTATTGATGTCACACTCCTTCCCTATTATATACTCCTGATACTATATGATACAATCCTTTTCCACACTTGATATAAGTCAGTTTATATCTCAAACTTACACGGGCGCAACCACCACTTCACGACCCCCTACTTTTATGTGGACCTCCCCAACTTCTGAGTTGAGTTGCCCTTTTTTCTGGCCCACGGCCCTTTTTCCTGGTCCGGACCCTCACCTGCTCGCGCAGAAAACGCATCTGAGGGGGTCTAATTTCAAAAAATTTCTGGGGGAGGGCTCCCTAGACCCCCCTTTGCGTGCTCCCAAGTAATATAAGTTAATACATGTAATAATTTTAATTTCCTTTTGTAATAAAAGTGTGTTCAATCCATATCGCAGTTTGATTTCACCGGGTACTAGTATTTTGTCGCTCTGATGGCAGTTAATTTCAAGCAAGTTGATGGTTTTTGTGGCTTTGTGGATTTTGCCTTGTACTGGAATTGTCTGTTTCATTGCTATGACAAGACTTGAAGTACAAAAATTTCGCCTCATATACTCTGAAAATGCATAAAAAGGAGTCTGATTTTTAAAAAATTTCTGGGGGAGGCCCCCCCGACCCCCCACCGCTTTCAGTTGGCCCCTTACAAAATCTCAAAGTGCCCTTTTCCCAGCCTGCACCCCCCCCCCTAGACAAAATCCTGCATCCGCCGCCCTGAGCTAGTGGCTTGTCAGTTTCATCGTTCGCGAACTGGTCTGGTAACGTACTACTACTAGGCCTATTGGTGGTAGCTATATGTAGCTTAGCTCTAGTAACTATAGCTCGCCGCGTATGCGCGTTGCCGCGTTAATGTAAGCGGGCTATAGTTACTAGAGCTATATTGTAGCTCAGCTGCATTATGATTATTTTATTTATATACACAGTTGTGTGTAACTTATGGACTCTTATTTAGTATTGCTGAGGAGGGGTCTATGTCCCCCGGGGTACTTGCCGAGAGCGTTACCCTTGGGTTACGGTACTATACTAACTATGCCGGACCGTACCTCGCTACTCACTTACGAGCCTAGGGAGTGCCTACGCCTACTCCCTTAACCCTAAGCCCTAACCCTCAATCCAACTCCTAACACATATCAATAGTGACCAGGGTACGTTCCGGTATACCGCGATCCGTTACCCAGGCGTAACGTTATCCGGCAGTTACCCTTGGGGACAGTATGGACGCCTATGAGTACTGTCAGTATTATAATTATAATAATTAATTATTAATTATTTTTAATTAATTATGATGGTATCCATCATTTTAACTACCGCCGCTACCCGGTACCTAACGCATTGAACAAGGAGCCGGCGAGCGCTCTGGGCTTCATCTGGCCCAGTGGTCTAGTTGCTACGATTATAAATCCGGTAAAACATTTCAGTCGTGCGTTAGTGACATCATTTGTTCAGGCGCAGTATATGCAGACACGCAGTTGCGACTACATCCATTGTTAAGGCACGGTGTGGGGGAAGGGAGCGCGCGGTGGGAGGGGGTTGGGGGAGGGGGAAGTCGGGTATTTGAGGAGTGGGGGAGGTGGGCTCTTATAGCAAAAGCAGTTCACTCCTTTTGTGATAACAGTTCAACAAATCCATAGTTTATAACCCTCCTCTGAGCGCCGTCATAAAGGTTCTTTTTTTATCCGACACTTTACTTCTTCCGCATTGTCAGCAGAAGGGACATTTCAGCCGTCCTTTCGAATTAAAGCGCCATTAAAAAATGCTAGGTCAAGCTTGTAAACAAAAAAGTTTTTTCAATCGCTCCGTCTTAGACACATATCCTCAGAAAATGTACCTAAAATCTGCCCTGTGCATTTGACCTCTTGAATCCTGTGACCTCCAATTTTCGGGCACTAGAGTGATGGCTTCCATACCATGAGCCTATACAACGACACTATCACGAGCCTAGGTCGAGTCTCGTTTAGATTCTGTGCCCGCAACGCTTCTGCATTTCCCTCCCGTATTACTTAATGTTAAGACGTGAATGTTCCCCCTTTATTTTACACTCTTGACCTTTGACCTTTGACCCCCAGCTTCGATCATCCAACTTTCCGTTTTCGGATACATTACCCCCCCACGTCCCGAATATCTGTGACCGTACGTCGAACCGCGTGTTTAAGATTTTGTGCCCAACTGTTGACGGACGCACGGTACGACGCACGGACGCACGGACGATCATGTCGATTCTACAAGCTTGATCTGACTAATGTTCAGATGATGCTAAAATTCATGGAATGAAATTACTTGTTATTGTTTAAATCATTTACGGTATTAATTACTGGTTACAGCTCGCTTAAGTCCGGACGGCCCAATAGTCCGAAAAGCCACTAGTCCGAAAAGCCCACTAGTCCAGAAAGCCCACTAGTACCGTTGAAAAAATCCACTAAGTTCCGAAAAGCCACAGGGGGTGGCTACCGATCTATACCTAATGTTTAATTAATTAATTAATTAATTTTAAATTTAAAATTTTAATTTTAATTTTTTTTTATTTTCATTTTTTTAAATTTAAATTTTTTAGGGGTGTTAGGAGGAGGTCGTGTGTGGCAGAAGGGTAGGTGTGTGGGTATGTGTGAGCAAAATCGCGTTTGAGGACTACGGTTAAAACCTTCGTTATCATCCGCCCCTCTCACTTATCGCCGCCCAGCTTATCATTCACATACAAGCACGGCAGGCACTATACGACGACGCACGCTGGATGGGGCGCACGATCACACATCGCCGTGGGCTGGTGGCCTGCGCAGCGCAAACATTTGCACCGCACTCTGCACGCGAGCACACCCACGCCGCCGAGTCCTTCGTACACCCCGACACACACCAGCCAGCCATCACACACACACACACGCGCCACCCACACGGACCCACACACATACAAACATCGCTTGGATAGATAATAACCTTATGTTACAATTGAAATAAAGTTTTACACTTTGTTGAGGTGTAACACAACATTTTTGACATTCTGCTGAGCTAGTTTTGACATGTTATGAAGTTTGTGGTTATTTTTACATTTTCGTGGTTGACATGTACATTATGATATTTGTGGTTATTTTTACATTTGTTGAGGTTGATTTTTAATTTGTGTGGCCGCACAGCACAGGTCCATTGAATAATATTAAGAAAGGGTCTATCACAGTCTGTAACTGAGACGCGGGTGTGGGGTTGCCGAGCATCAAGTTGAGGGGCAATGGGCAGAACTCTCAACCTGCTTATTACTAAGTGGTTATACCGTACTACTAGTTACCTCACCTATTATAGCCAATAACAGATTAAAATTTAAGAATAATAAATCAAAATATAATAATTAAAAATTAAAATG